TCACATCTATCAATCCAGATGGATTGTTTTACTGGTTTTCAAATACTGTCAACCAGAGACAAACCAAACAACAGAGGTAAGATTTTCATCACTGAGAAATCTTTTAAACTTTCTACTCTACTTTCTGCCAAAGCTGTCAGTCACTAAAGTCACTCTCTTCATCTATAGTTTACATATCACATTCAGAACATTTCTGTTCGGAAAGCCTACGATGTCAGAGCCTCAAAATAAAGAGAGATATATCGTCATCACAGTTTGGCTTGTGGCTTTTACATGTAGCTCATTCATACTCCCTATTCCCAGGGCACTCAGCCAGAGGGAGAATTTCAGTGGCCTTTTCCATCTCAAACAAATATCAAAGTGACAACTGAAACCACAGAACAATCAGACTATCGCTCCACTAAGAAGAAAAGAGGAAAGCATAAGCAGAGATGCACCTCCTCCCAGGAAAGTCTTCAAACACTTCTAGTGGAGAAGTGTGGGGTGGTCGGGACCAGTACTCTACCCAAGCAATTCCTTCCTTATCTTGTTCTTTGCAACATTCTACCCCCAGCTGCACGCAGAGACAATTAGCCTCAATTACTTCAGAGGGCAGAATTTGGCTTGAGATTTTTATGCATCCAGAAAGACGGACTAGCATTGTCAAGCTTGCTCCAGGCAACAAAGCCATCAGCTTCTCTACCACCACCCATTCAGGATTCATTCCTTCTCTTCATTAAATGGGTCAGCCTGGATTGATGGATCTGATGCAGCCTAAAATTTCTGCCCAATATTGCTTCTGCTATTAGTGTTACATCATTACTTACCTTCCCACCCTACAGCTGTGCATTTCCCATTGTGGTCTCAATGTTCTACCCTTCTCCCTTTGGTGGCTAAGTGCTTCAGTAGCACTTAAATCTTAGAAATCTAAATTCAGAGTTTCGCAGTTGTTTTAGTGTAAAGCTGTTTCTTCATTCTAATTATCACGTGCGTGTTTGAGGGAAGCGGGAAGAGGAAGTTGAAAGCTGGTTTAACACAACTGTACTCAGTGTTACATTTTCCCCCCCAAAATGTTAAAATATGTATATATCAGGGACTGGATAGCCCAAAAAGACTTAAGTTATGTTAATATGTAACATCTCTCTCTTTGAGGTCATATATATATATATATATAAACGAGGTTCAGGCCAGTAGCTAGCGAAAGTCATCATTTTTGGAAATAAGATGTTCCTGGGCTAGGTTTGGGCAGATAGGAAACCACGCCACAATTGGTACCCTCACTGACATTCTGCGCAGAGAGGCTAAGGATGCAATAATCAGCATGGAGACTGATTTGCCTTCCCATCTCTAAACGTAGTTCCTGCAGAGCTGGGGCACATTGATGAGACTGCACTGGGGAAAATTTACACTAATCAGGCCCATTCTGTACCAGTTCTGTGGAAAGGGAGCCTCAGTCTCCAAAGCTATCACATTGGCACCTTTCATGAGCACTATAGCACTTATAATATAAACAAAAATCTTTTCTACGCAATCCTCCTGTGGCTGGAGGAACTGAAGACTGTACGTTTCTGTATCACACAAATTTTGAGTTGTTTGTAGAACTGGACACAGATAAAAAGATTACTAGATACAGTTCCCAAATCCAGCTGTGCCATGCTACCAGTTCTAAATTAACAAGGTGCCCTTGGAAGAGGTCTGCATTTATGGACCTGTTCAATCTCTTGCCTGTCTCCACTGACATATTTTGTCTGGGCTCATCAGCATGGTACAGCAACCCGACCTGGTGATTCAACGCAGATTTGCACACAAACGCAAACTGACAAGATTTCAGGACATCTGCCAAGGGAGGTTATGGAATCACCTTTAGTGGGGATATTTAAGGCTGCACTGGATACCTGCCCACCAGGGACAGTTCAGGAAATTATTAAGTCTGCAGGAGACTGGACTAGATGGCCTCTCAAGGTTGCTTCCAGACATATGATTCTAAGAAATATTTCCATTAATTCTTGGAAACTATTTTAACAAATAGTGACTCAAACTCAAGCAGTACTGTGCTTGTGCCTGGAAACCTGAACATGAAAATGACTACAAACTAACTACCTACATACGTTACACTGCCATTTCCATTTTATTAGCTAAACTAGAGAAATGCAAGCAGCAAAAGAACAGATTTTTTTTTTTTAAATAACCTCATCTACTTTAATAGAAGAAAGAAGTTTGAGTTTCTTTAATTTTAAAATGTGATTTTTAAATGTTTCCATTGAAAATAAATCTTCTCACAACACAAAAGATTCACTTATTCTTCAGGTTTCAGAGTAGCAGCCATGTTAGTCTGTATCCGCAAAAAGAAAAGGAGGACTTGTGGCACCTTAGAGACTAACCTATTTATTTGAGCATAAGCTTTCATGAGCTACAGCTCACTTCTTCAGATGCATCTGATGAAGTGAGCTGTAGCTCACGAAAGCTTATGCTCAAATAAATTTGTTAGTCTCTAAGGTGCCACAAGTACTCCTTTACTTATCCTTCAGTTCAGTCTCCAGTGCACCACATCTCAAACATTAACCAATCAAATTATACATGAGCATTGACCACAATGCTTCCAAAAAAAAGTTTTAATTTTATTCTCTCATTACATGTACACACAGACCATATTCTCTATGAAGCATCTGTGGAGTGGTATCTTAAATCCAGTATTTGCTACACTACATTCACCAGGTCTGAGTCACTCAACCTCTTTCAAACTGCGTGAATACAATCCATTTTTAGTATTATTACAGTGAAGGATAACAATTGGTTAGAGTCAGCCTCAATCCAAATCAGTGTTATGCAAGTGTCATCCGTATGGCTGTCCCAATGCCCCTTAATCCCGTGAACTGCATCACCCCCTGCTATTCTATTCTTGGGCCTCTTTGAGAGAGAGAGAGAGAGACACACACACACACACACAATATTATGCTCAACTGTGTCAAAATGCACGGTGGATTTGTAACTTTATTTTCACTTCGGTGCACAAGGCATTTATTTCCTCTTCTGACAACATTTCGCTTCATACAAGCATCAAGCAAGTCAGTACACAGCCTGATTCTCTTCTATACTACAGCACCCCTTTGTAGATATCTGGCAGTGTAAAGGTGTGTTACTGTAAATGAAAATCAGACCTGGTATACTAATTCCCACTCTCTGTACTCTAACAATTTTTAGAGATACCTCCTGCTCCACTGTCTTATTTCCAACATTTCTCCCATTCCGAGGAAACATTCATGCTCTGTATTCCCCAGTTTCTTTCTTCTCTGACCCCAGCATACCCATCTGTACACCCCTTTGTTCCAGTGCTCCATATCAAAACTCTCTACTCTTACCTTGTGATTGAGATCCAATATCTACTTCAGTCTCTTACACCACCTGCCCTTTTTTTTAAATGAAATACTTCATGTCCACGTTATCTTAACCTACCTCCATAAAATTACTATTCAAAATCTCAAAGCTCTTTAATTCTAATATTCTTAGTCAACTACTGCAACCAACCCTTACCTAAAGACCATAACTTGAGTTAAACGCTTCTTAACATGAAAGAGAGGGGGGAAAATATTACCCTATGAACCTGTAACAGAATGGAGTACTGTGGGCCTGAGAATCTGATTGTGGAGGATTCCTATCACTAGGGTTAATTTCAGCTGCCTCTCCCCGCTACTGTGGAGAGCAACTGGTCTGTTCTGAAAATTGCTACCACAGTCGAATGTGTTAATGAAATAGCAGGTAAAGGAGAACCAGCTACTTAGGTTTTCAAAAGGCCTCTGACAAAGTCCTAAACAAAAGACTACTAAAGTAGTCATAGTCTGAGAGTCAAGGTAACCATGGATCAGGAACAGTCAGACAGAAAAAGTAGAAATAAATGGCCAGTTTTTAAATCGTGGAAGGTATCAATGGCAAAACAGTAGCCAAAAGGTTTTTGTACTAGGACTGGTGGGGTGCAATCTATTTGGGAATGATCTGGAGACTGGAGAGGGTTGGGAAGGCAAGGTGAAGAAAGTAGGCAGATATAGTGCAGACTATCACCTTATATTCTTCCCATATCGCCAAACCTCTGCAGTGTGACACCATTTTCAACAGTTTATCACCATCTCTCTCTTCCTGTTCTTTAACCCCCCAGCCTCTTATTTAAGCAACCACTTTTCCGAATTCAGAATCATGAACCTGCAGCCAGTTGAGGAGATGGCTAAAGGGGCTGGGAATCAGGCTTCACAGACTGCCCCCTAGAAAGGTACTCAAGAGAAGATATTCCACTAGACAATTCAGGTGTCTCATCTCTAACACTCCCAGCCCCAGCCCAGCAGTAACAGATCAGAGCGGAATATCCCAAATCAGATGCCCAATCTATCAGTATACAACTGATTCATACAACTAAAGTTACATTTTCATTCCAACTTTTGTTTATAAAAAAAACTCTTATTCTTAAGACAATTCAATAAATAGTTAGAGGGAAGCAACTGATATACAGCAGCTAATTACTAAAGCAGGCATGCCTGCATGCACCATGGTATACAATTCTGCAATTCCACATCAAAACATTTCTTATGGCTTCTGACAGGGGGATTTGTTCTTCTGTTATCCCACTGCTAGCTCTTTTTCTAGCTAACACCCCCCATCCTCCCGGGGCAAGTGACTATCCTTGTACCCTGGGAGACTGTGCATATGCTGTGTGCAGGAGGAGGGGGATCAGTCAGAACAGGTAATTAGATTTCAAATTGCTTGCTGTCTCCTCACACACCACATTGGCTTGGTTTTGACAACTTGCACTGACAGTGTCTAACCCAACAATGACACCCGACGGTGAACAAAGATGAAGCGCTCACCTGAGGTACGTGGGTGGTGTCCCTTCCAAACAACAATTCCCTGGCAACTGATAAAACACATGCTGACGATGTTGTTTCAGGGATCCAGATTCCCTCTCAATGCTCAGGACAAGAGCACTGCACATCAATAGAGTATCACAAGGAATACCAGAAAGCTACAGTACTCACTGAGTGGTTTAAGGATGCCGCTGCTCGTCTCATCCGCATTTTCTGCATCGGATTTGTCGGAGTAGTACTCAGAGATTTTTTCTCTTTCCTTCTTCTCCTTTAGCCCAGGTTTTCTTCTGTGCCGTCTCCTTCTCCGATAGCTCTTAGGCACATGGACCCCGATGTAGACGGTGTGATGGCCTATGGAAAAATAGGAGCATTAATTTGCATCCCATGCAATTTGCAGAAATACCAAGAAGTCTAGTTTATATCACATTTCATTGTAGGAGTATCCCTAAACAGGGGGTCAACTTGTTGTTTTACCCAAACATTAATTAGCAGCTTTTAAATCCCCCTTTGGTTGTGGGGTTTGGTTTGTTTGTTATTTCTTTTATGGTCAAGTAGTTTAAAAAAAGAAATCACAACTGACAGTACATGCAAGTGTAGACTCACTGCTGGCTATTACATATTTGTGACTATTTCTCTTTTTTTAAAATGGACCTCAAAGTCATGAGAATCAGTTTCAAAAGTACAGAAATACAAAGCAGCAGCTTAAAAAAAAAAAAATCATCTCAGTATTTCTGCTGTCTCACTCTTAAAGAGCTCTCCCCTTGAACCTACTTGTTTTTATTAAAAAAATACACTTGTTGGGCCAGACACTTATCTGGTGCAAACCAACATAGCTTGAAATCCATCAACCTATGATGATTTACACCAGTTGAACATCTGGACCAGTGTCCAATATGCCAAGTAATAGCCCAAATCTGGAGGGGGGGAAAAGCGCTAAGATACATGTATTTTACTGCATCACAGCAGCAGTGTTATGGTTAAAGAAGAGGCTTCTCTTTTAAGCTCCTGTCTGTTAAGTATCTGACACTTTCCAAAACTTTAAAAAAAAATTGTAATTTGGCCTAAAATTGCTTATGTTTGTTCTCAAATATAAAGATCTTCACTCCCCATATCTTTTTTTTTTTCCCTTTTTTAAAGCAATGGAATAAAATTCTACTTGTCCATTTTTTGAGTTAGATAAAAAGTTCTTGATTCTTTATTTTCCAAGTTCCTTGCCCCTCCAACACCAGCCCAGAATAAAGAGATTCTTTACACTTTAGGAAATTATTCAGACATTTCTTGTGTACTCTGATTACTCAACCATCTTATTTTTAAAAGCTTCAGACACACCTGCCATGGATTCAATTCCTGATAAAGACAAGTGCCTTTGATATGTTTGAACAACTTTGGTTTATCCACTCATTTTACAATGTACCATTGCAGAGCTTCAGATAAACACACTTGTTCGACCATTGACTGAAGTATGTTTATCTGAAGAGGTGATCCTAGTCACATGTGAGAACAAATGTATTTATCTGAAAGTTCGATCAGTTCTTTTCCCTTAAACTCAGAAATTCAGTTATTGTTTCCGATAGCCATCATCTATCTCAGTTGACTTCCATATATTTAGTCTTTTAAATCTTGGCAGTTAACCCACAGATACAGCAAGAAAAAAAATACTGATTATGCAGAAGTGGGCAGAGGTGCAATTGCTGTGGGAACCCAAACTTCGAAATTCCAACTTGTGTGCATTTTGGCCAGAATTCTCACCCCAGGAGCCTAAATAATTCCGCTGGGACATCTGTTGGAGAAAGAGAAATTCTTCAAGGAAAATTAAACGATAGCAAACTAAGGCCACTTTACTTTGGAATTGACAACATCCACACAATGGTTTAATGCACTTTAACTAATGTATGTTAACTTCACACCTCTAGTTAATTTGCTCTTTACTTTCCTGAGCGTCCCCTGTGTACACATGGCCTAACGCAGCTTCAGCATTAGAGTGGACAAGGACTCCTAAATTTTAGGCCTCTCTGCACTACTAGCTTTTATAAAATTTGCAACCAAGCTGTAACATGAATAAATCCATCTGCACTTCACAACCACACACACAACATGGGTCACATGCAATCTCTTCTGCTGTGGATGAGGTTCCGATCTCATTCATGAGTAGGACTGACATGACTTAAGCTGTGAATGCATTAAAAAAAAAAAAAAAAAAAAAAAGTGATTCTGCTATAGAAATGGGAATTCCTAGCCCCATCTGCATAATTAACTTAGCCACTTCAGCCGACTCCCGGGCCCCTGTGGGCTGGAAAATCCCAGAGCACATGGCACCATGTGAAATTCTTGATGACCAACGCCTGGAACTCAGCCAGCGTCAGATAGCTACCCAGATCTTCCTGGATTGTGTAGATGGGGACAGTCCAGTCGGCACACACCTGTACTGGGAAACCTGCCATTTTGTGGATGTTAGTTGTAACAATATCGGATGAACATATACAGCCTGATTACATGAACGAGATTCTCTGTGTTCTTTACATGGGGTCTTTTGGAACTAAAACTAAAAACAAAAGGCCAAGTGAAAAGTGTGTGTTAATTTGGCCCATTTTTGCTGCTTTATAGAAAACATCTTAAAATACTCAACGTTTTTCTTCAGAGACACATGCCAGAGTTCCTTCCCTAACTCCGGCTGTTGTAAGTCTCGGCATAACTGGTCATGCAGGAAAGACTGAACCCCAAAATATTTTACATCAGGAAGAATTTATCCTTTGATGCTTTAACTTCTAATTCACAACTCTCAAACTGAGCAAAAAGTTATTTCACTGGTAATGTTTTTAAAAAGCTATTGTTTAATAAATGAAAACGCCAAAGCAAAACTGCACCAGTAAAAAAAGGGATGAGATTTTTGTTGAATGATTGTTGTATCTATTGAGGAAAGGGTGATTTCTTGCACAGAAATCGGGGGGGGGGGGGGGGAGGGAAGGGGGGAATCTATAGTTACATGCCAAAAAACTGTATGCAGAGTACAGTTCTATAAACCAGAACAATAGATAACCTAATGTAATTTGCAGATTTTCTCAGATCAAATCTATGGTTTCAATTCACACTTCATGAAATGTAATTCCACAAGAGTACAACACATTCAGATTAGCACCATAGGAGTCAATTTCATATTAACGTGTGCGCTGAGACACACACATCCCAAAAAACAATACTCGTTAAAAGAATAACGTTTCAACATGGAGCTTACAAGTAATGCTAACTGTAAGGTTGTCCATGCAATCTGAACTCTACCCTTGTGTGCACATACATTACACACATTTCTGTAGGAACCTTGCCTCATTCACTGTGAGATTCACTCTTGTGCACAGAGATAGCACAAGGCTTGTGCATTATTTAAGTTTCACTAGAGTCCTAAAGTGGTGCATAGGCCTTGTTCTGGCGCACTGCACAGAGCCACCTTTCCCCTTGTGTGCCTGGATTGGACAATGCACAGTGAATGGGGCAACTGTTCAATATTTATTTTTATCCTCACTGTTCAGCACATGGACCCCGCCTCATTCACTGCACATCATCCATCTTATCCGCTAAGAGCCTACATGCACTCAGTTACAGAAATATACAGCCAGATCTATCCTAGGCTTTTGCTCTAAATTTCAAATAAAGCTGAGGCCAAAATACAGGGACAGACACACAGGACGCCATCTCATTCACTGAACCATCCAACTTGCACACTCCAGGTCTGATCAGATGACTCCCATTGACTCCTTCAGTGGGATTTTCACGGACTTCGAAAAGCATCGGATGACCATGTGAATGAAACAGAAGTCCTACAAGAAAAGTAGGAGGCAACTATGCCTTTAAAGACTGTATTGCAATGCATATACGCACAAGAAAAAAAAGAGTTACTGGATTATCTGAATGTTGGCATCCTGGCAGCCTTAATGTTCTTTCCATGTTTTTCGGTAAGGTTTTTTCTATTTGTTGTTATTAGTAAAGAAAACAAAAGAACAGACAAAAAGTTCCATGGTGTGGGACTACTTGGAAGGCAGCAGGAAAATGCTGTGTTGGATCAAATGAAAAAAGGGGGTAGTCCTGCCTCATTGAAGCATGGATACCTGTAGAGCAAGGGTGGGCAAACTTTTTGGCCTGAGGGCCACACTGGGGTGCGAAACTCTGGAGGGCTGCGTAGGGAAGGCTGTGCCCCCCAAACAACCTGTCCTCCCATCTGCCCCCTCCCACTCCCTGACTGCCCCCCTCCTCAGAACCCCTGACCCATCCAACCCCCCTGCTCCTTGTCCCCTGACCACCCTCTCCCAGGACCCCACCCCCTATCCAATGCCCCCTGTTCACCGTCCCCTAACCGCCCCCTCCCCCCCAAACCTCTGCTCCATCCAACCACTCCCTGTTCCTTGTCCCCTGATTGCCCCCTCCCAGGACCCCCACCCCTAACTGCCCCCCTCCCCGGGTCCCCACACCCTATCCAACCCTCCCGACCCCATCCACACCCCCACCCCCTTACAGGCCTCCCGGGACTCCCACGCCCTATCCAAGACCCCCTATTCCCTGTTTCCTGACCACACACACCCCCAGAACCTCTGCCCCATCCAACCGCCCCCTGCTCCCTGTCCGCCCCACGGGACTCCTGCCCCCTAACCCCCTTACCATGCCGCTCAGAGCGGCAGGAGCTTGCAGCCGCGCTGCATGGCTGTGGGGGGGGACAGTGGGGGAGGGGCCGAGGGCTAGCCCCCCAAGCTGGGAGCTCAAGGGCTGGGCAGGATGGTCCTGAGGGCCGGATGTGGCCCGCAGGCCGTAGTTTGCCCACCTCTGCTGTAGAGCCTGGTCACCTTGCTTACACAACTCCAAAACTTTGCATCGATCAGAATAAGCACCCTCATTCCGTGCACACCTTCAGACATTGAGGAACCCACTCAAACTGCTTATCTGCACAAAGGTGCAGTGCAAATGCAATGCCGGGAGATCAACAGTTATTGTCAGAGGCAGGGAGAGAACTCAGTCTGCACGGACAATGTCTGTTTTTAAACAAACCATTACAACACAGTAGAATAGAATGGGTTTTCACCACTGAAAAGCACACAAATCTCAAATTTCTACCCCAAATTGCGAAGGTGATAGAGCTGTTAAAAAAAAAAAAAAAGTGACAAAAAGTTCCTAGAAGAAAATTTTAAAAAAGAGCAACATCTGTCCCTCTCACCATTCTCACCCACGTTCTATTCTCTTCACACTCAAAACCAGCTGACCCATTTTTGCTCAAAAATCACACAAACGCGCACGCGATCACCACTGGACAGAAAATCCATCTTCAAAAATTTCAGCCCCAACAGGGAAAAGTTGGAGAAAGTGGTAAG